TTTAGAAAACACATTTTGTTCAAATTGAACCCATGGAAACAAAGACTGTTGTCAGAATAGTCTCTCAAATGAAGTTTTTCATGCAAATAAAACATCTGAATAGTTTGTGGTGTGCATTGTTTGGACTGTAAGCAACAGGAATAGGAGCAAAGTATTTACTGAAAAAGATGAAATGTGATAAGGATTAAGCCAAGCACTTAGTGCCAATTTCTGCCACATGAATATTGGATGCTAACTACTGTAATAATTATAAGGCAAAACAGTAAAAATATTTTTTTTAAAAATACATTTTTTCCTTTTTTTTTTTTTTTTTTTTTCCTGTTAACTGTTCTCTGTCTCATTTTAGTAGTGCTTACATCCAGTATATATTGTGAGGCATTGAAAAAGGACACTGAAGTTTCTCTTTAAAGCAACTGAAGTTGCAATGCGCAATCCCATGCTAGTGTGATAAAATTGTATGAAACATAAGCAGTGTTGCCTAATGTTGCTGGAAGAACAAATACTAAAGCACCCACTAGTCTTCAGAATGCCTGATTTATAATTTGTCTGAAAACTAAACAGGATTAACAAAGGGTTCTCATATGTACATCTTATATGTCACCTTAAAATACATTACTACCACCAGTAATTCTGAAAAAGAGAGCTATTAGTATCCATGAAATATGGATTTGGGAGCTGCCCTGAAGATTATAAAAGTTTCCACAGAATTTCCAGTTTGTCTTAACCCTGAGTGCTAAGTACCTCATCCATTTCTGGTAATGTTTTACAAGTGAGAAAATGCTTGCTAGTGAAAAATCCCTGAGTTTAATATGGTAACTGTGGTCTGTATTGTACAGTAAGTCTGATTTGAGGACACAACAAGTCCACACAAATCTGCTCTTTGGTGGAAGGGAGAGGGCAGTCTTGTGCTTCGAGAACAAAAGGTGAAAGTGCAAGTGAGTCTTGGAACTCTGCAGGGAAGTGCACTTACCCACAGTAGTACTCTCCCACCTGTGTTTTCTTACAGTTTCTCAATCCTGAGCCCTTCACACTTCCAAACACAAAATAGCCAAAGGCAGAAGGTTAAACTTGGAGATTCATTCAACTGAATGAAAACCCAGGCCTGCCCATTTTCTCAGGTCTTTTACTACCGTTCTTAATAAGATGATTAGTGTTTTCTTGAGTATTTAATCTCTTCTTTTTGTCATCCTTTTTTTTTCTACATTACACAGCTCTGTGAGGCTTACTGTGAGTTTTTTAAGTTTTCTGTGAAATTAGCTTCATAGGACATCTTTGATGCCATTTTCTAAATAGTACTCATTTTAGTTCTCCTTGAAGACAATTCAAGGAAAAGAACGGAGTCTGAGTTTACAATCAGTTAACATTGACTGTTATTCTGATAGCTGTTGTGCTCTTCCTCTGTGTGTTAGATTTTTGGGATAATCATGATGTGAAGTAGTTTTTCTTTTTTTTTTGTTCCTGTAAAAGGTTTTTTCCCCTTCTCTAACTTGCTATCTTGCGAAGTTCTCTGGTGTGATGCTGCTGTAAGTGATGATCCCCTTCTTTTCTCATTATCAACAGTTAAGCCACAAGTAAATTACACTTAAATGCTTGTGCCCACACCCTCATTCCCCCATATTTTCTTCTGAACTGTCCTTGGTATTCTTTTCCCCTTTTAATTTTTGTCATTTGAAAAACAGGCATAGTATCAGGGTAACTGACAGAATTTCCTTACAAACTTCAATCCTCTTGTTGTAGATTTTAATACTAAACTATCCTCTGTTCAGGGGGATAGGAAGTGGACAACTTTAATTTAGTTTCAAGTTGAAAGTCAGTATCTTGGTAGACTATTCTTACTTATTCAGCCTTTTCATCCTTGGAACATTCAAGTTGTCCTCTTGAGATTTAATATTTCAAAAGAGTATTTGTATATCAAATGGAGTTTAATGTTTCATTTTCTGGAATCAAAGCAAAAGTTCAATTAGATTCATCAAGCTTCTTTTTTCTCTGTTTTACCAATCCTGAACTATAACAATGCACTTGATTTAAGTATCAAAGTGAGAGCTCTGAGTCTTCAGGTGGGTCGTCTTTGATGCCTTCATGATGGTCATCATTCATAAGTGCATAAAATGAGATAATTGTATATCTCATCAGAATTTCCCCCCCCCCCCCCGAATTCAGCTCTGTTTTTAACACCATGCAAAAATCTCTTCCTGTTGACCTCATCTGTGAGAAACTGTCAGCTTTTAGAACTCATCCCACATTGGAGCTCGAGAGATTTCAGATAAGAATTAGTATTGCTTTCCTACAGTAGCTATAAGTCAGTGTGTATTAATCTTGTTGCTACTGTTGCAGCTCAAATGGTAAATTGTAATTTTGCCTTATTTCTTCTCATCTAGGTTTCAACAATCAGTTTTAATGCAGGGCTGAAAAACTTTAAGGCAAAGACTCAACACTGGGCATCATTTGATCCTTCTGTTAATTGCAAACTGATTGCGAGATCTAACCATGGGTGAATTTCTTTGCACATATATCAGTGTGCCCAGTGTGTTTTGTGGGAGGTGGGTTTAATTAGTCATTCATTCTGTGGAATGAAACTGCATCTTAAATATAACTAACTGCAAAAATTCCGAGAAGGTCTTCTGTGAGCAAATTAGAAGATTGCCAAAGTATTCGATTACTAAACTTGTGGAAAAGAATGTTACGGTGGTTTTTTGTTTTTGTTTTTTTTTTTGAAAGTGGAGCTAGTGATTTTGATGAATTCTCATTAACTTTACCTTTTTTGTGAGCACTAAACTAGATGTGAAAGAAATCTCTGCTGTAATTTGGGGATGCATTTAAGCTTTTGCATAATTGCAAGCATGTGAGTAGTCCATTAAATTCCGTTGGATTCTACTGTGTGCGTCATTCACTATCTAAAACTTCTGATGTAGGAGTTAATAAACTTCCTTCTCTTGTTTGCTATGAAGATGAAAGTTCTTCATAACAAGAACTTCTTAGAATAATCTGCTGAATCTCTCACTGGTAACATGTTTAATTGAAAGTTTGAACTTTTTTGGCTTAATCCATTCTTTCATATTGATCAAACATTTTTTTGAGAGGAAGTTGAGAAAAAACTACTTTATACTTACTTCAAACATATCAGCAACAGAGTTATAATGGTTATTTTGAATGAAGAAACTTTATGTTTGTAGAACTCTTTTCCAACCTAAAAGGATTCTACAATTCTATAATTTTTCCATACTGTGCTGGCTAGCTTAGGCTTTTTATTACAGTGCTGAAGGGCACTATTTTGGAATATATTACCTTTGAAAGGAACACAGAGTTATATGCTAAACTGAAATCAGTTAACACTCAACTGAAATCTTGGAGCATTTTTGCTGTCATAAAGAGGGCTGTTGATGAGTACGTGGTGTTCTTGGTGCATGGAAAGCATACAAATTAGGACATGAAGGGGGTATCACCTCACAAATCCAACCTTATTGTGAAAATTGTTGAAATAATTTGGCTCACATTTTTGTCAACAGCTAAAAAAAGTGAATTCAGGGAAAATGTTTAGGAAAGACTTAACTCTGTCTTACAGTCACAGCCATGAGAAGGTTAAGAAACAAATCAAATATCAAAACAAATTTGCTATTTGCCTACATGAGAGATTTCTGATTGACAGCTCTTTAATATAAAAAGTTTTAATGAGCTCAACTGTTTGAGATGGAAATTGGACAAATTCAGATAGCAAATAGGTCACAGTTGTTAAACAGGACAATTAATCATTGAAACAACTTACCTAGGATGTGAAACATTCTGACTTGGCATAAAGATAGGGTAAAAGAGATTGTTTGATACCATTTTACCTAGTTCATTATGCAGGAGGCTGAAATACTCAAGCTCCACAAGAGCTTGAATTGTTTGAGATTTATCTTTATGATAATAAAGCATATGACTACATGGCAGCAATAAATCTTCCACAACTAATGTGAATTTGCTGGGCAATTTAAATTCTGTTACCAGCACTACTTTGCAAGGTAACTAGTACTTTAAATGATGGCCATAGTGTTGCTTAGGCAGTGGTAGGATCTAGGCTCATCAGAAGAGATTTCAAGGAGGAAGAGGATAAAACCAGGCTCAGTGGAGTTAGGGCTGGGCTCCAGTATGTTAGGGGAATTTGGATCAGTTCTGAACTATTTTCTTTGAATTAGTTGGAAGTCACTGAAAGGCATCTACTACCTCTTCACAGATGTTCTTGGCATTGCCAAGACAGAAATTGGAATTCTTTCTGACAGAAATTGGAAATTCAGATTTTAACTCATGTGCAAGTCGCAAGTACTAAACAGAATGTGTTACTGGTACAATGTTATTGTCAAAAGAAAAAACCATGTAAGGGGTAGCAGTGTCTCCAAGCAAGTGTTCTTGGCCTGTGGATACAGTTAAAGAAATTCTCACTTACATACAAAGGTCAGTTTTGGCACAGTTGATTTGCTGACTTTCCTCCCATTCTGTATTCTTAACTGCCTATTTTTTACTTAACTCTACTTAGAGTTTTTTTTAAGACAAACATTAACCTGAAAGTAGGTTTAGAGTAACAAGTGTTACATCCTTTCTAAAATTATTGGGATCATCCAGACTCTTCCAAATTTGTATTTAATAGGTGAAGTTCTGTGCTTTTTCTCAAGCAGCATTTCATTCTCTACAGAATATTGAATATCTTTTTCTCATAGGATTTCAATCCTGCTTAAACTTGTATTTCTAAGTGCTTCTCTTGACTTTTTGACCTTGAGCTTTGAAATTACTGGTTTGAATTAGGGGATTGTTTCTAGCTTATTTAAATACTATTTTTTATTAGAGGACTTTAAATAGCTGTTTTAAATAACACTGTACATTTCCAAGAATCTGTAGCTTAGAAGTAAGAGAGAGATTCTTCACTAAACTGCCAAAATGACTGTGTCTGCTTCTGTGTACATTGATAGAATAATGCATGTTTTTAACCACTGAACTAACTTTAGCCATTTCTGCTCCCATTCCAGGTGCAGGACAAGTTTCGTCTGGACCTGTCTGATGAAGAAGCTGTCCATTACATGCAGAGTCTAATTGATGAGAGTGTCCATGCCCTCTTTGCAGCTGTCGTGGAGCAGATACACAAGTTTGCACAGGTGAGGTGTTTTCTTCTCTGTTGCTGGGCTCTGTGGTAGCTGAGAGGTTGTGAGTGGTAGATTCATCACTGTGAGATGTTTTAGTTCATTTTATTACAAGAGGAAACTTTTAGTTGTAAGGACTGGAGAACAAGCTTGTAGAGGTCCTATAAAACATTTTGAAGCACCATAGCAATCATGCAAGGTCTGGTGTCTGGGACCAACTTCTGATGCCCATCCAGGCTGGGCATGAGCAGCCCCAGAGCAGCCGTGCCCAGAAGGGCTTGGGGGTGCTGTGGGTGAGAGGCTGCACATGGCCCAGCCATGGCACTCCCAGCCCAGAGAGCCAAACGTGTCCTGGGCTGCACCCAGAGCCCCGTGGGCAGCAGGGCAGGGAGGGGATTCTGCCCCTCTGCTCTGCTCTGCTGAGACCCACCTGGAGCACTGCATCCAGCCCTGGGCTCCCAGCACAGGAACCACAGGGACCTGCTGGAGAAGGTCCAGAGCACTTCAAATGTTATCAGAGGGCTGGAGCACCTCTTCTAGGGAGACAGTCTGAGAGAGCTGGGATTGTTCAGACTGGAACAGAAAGGGTCCAGGAAGACCTTACAGGACCCTTCTTGGTGATGATCTGGGTGACAACAGATTATTGGCTCTGTTATTTTTGTTTTTACAATATACCCTCTATGAAGAATGATGTGTTTACCCCAACATCTTTTATTCTGTGCTGTATTATTACCATACACACTAAGACAATAAAATACTTGATTCCCGTGTTAAATAAAACTGTGTTTACAAAAGCATTTCAGCTTTGAATTTCCAATTCTTTTTTTTTTCCTTAAAACTGTCTGACATTTAGTTTGTGTTTATTGTGGATCTGAGACATTACACTATTTTCCTTAAGTATTAGACCATGACAAGAAATGGAATTAGGAGAAAAAATTAAACTGCTCTGAAAAACCAGTCATTATCCTGATTTTTAATTGATTTTTTCTTCAAAAGGCCAGTCAAATTCTGGTATGAACTGTGGAGAACTATTCTTATGGCTATCTATTTTGCTAAAAAGCATCTGTTCTTTTCTTCAAACTTAGTTTTTATTTTGAAGAATTGCACTGTAGAGCAGGATGAGAAGAAATAATGTAATTTCCATTTATGTATATATTTAATTAAGGTGATGTTTTATGAGATGTAAAAGAAGGAAGTGTAATTATATGGAAATGATGCAAAATTTGTCGTCATTCACTATGGATTACTTTGAACTTTGGATGGAGAATGGGAATTTCATAAGACAACGTGAAAAATGCCTGGCATCTGCCTTAGGGTTCAAATAAAAAAAGTAAAAGCTATTAGAAATATTCAAGGTTGAAGGTTTAAGTTTGTCCAGTATGTGTGTAGACCTTTCTTTTCATTACATACTGACAGTCACTTTTTTTTTAAGACATGCCTTTTTACTTCATTGGCCTGAGGTGACTGCCACACTCTCCCAGATAATTGTTACTGCATTTGTGAAAGTGTATTACAGGTTGGATTCAGGTGACCTTTTCCTTTTCCATTCAGGCTTGTTTTGCTTGATTTTTCTTCCCTGTTTTTAAAATCACAGAACAGATATGTTCAGAATATTTAAAAGTACCCAATAATGTTATTCCAGGTTTCTGTGGGATGGGGCTCTGAGCAACCTGGTCTAGTGGAGGGTCTCCCTGCCTATGGAATAGGGTCTAGGATTAGTTGGTCTTTAAGATCCCTTCCAACCAAACCATTCTGTGATTCTGCCTCCCAGGAATGATGTTCCATGCCAAAAGCTGATACACATTCCAGCAGACACTGATTGCATCTGCCATTCATATTTTTGGGGGTTAATGTGCAAGCCCACTGGTGTATTACACTTTGGACACCAAACAAGCAGATGTGACAGCCACTAATGTAGGCCTGATACAGTTATCTCATTTTGTGGTTTTTACCCCTTCAGCTGGCCCATGCTGAATTTCATCACAGAGGTATTTTCCAGAGGCTCTGTGCAATCTTTGTGCTCTGCTGCAGAGTGTGCAACCTGTGTGCTTTTAGCTTTCCTTTCTGCTTCGGGCATCTGGTGCCTAGAATGAAAAACAAATGTCTTGATTTGCAAGTGCTACAGGCATCTCATGACTCCATGTGATGCTAGTTTTGGAGTTCTAGTTACTGTCTTTATTCGCACTCTAAAAAATTTAGGCTTGCAGACTTTCTCCTGCAAAGATACTGGATTGCAAGTGTGAGGAGGATGCAAAAACAATAGACAAAGATTAATCAGCAGTTGACAAGTCTTAAGAATCTGTGGTTTATTAATGTATTTTTTTTAATACTTAAAAAGAATCCAATGAAAAGTAAATCTAATTAATGTCAATTCTCTATATTATGGGTGAAATGGGAGGCTTCTTAGCAATATTTATTACTTCATCAGTCAAAATCATTATCTTTTTGTCCGAGACAGTCTTAAGAATTTGCTGCTGTAGTCTTCATGGAGTCTGCAAATCGTTAAACAAATGAACAGTTAATGGGTTGTGAATTTGCTGTAAAGGGATCATCTTACTCAATGGCCAATTGAAGCTTTCCCTTCCTTCATCTGTAATTCTGCATGGAATTGCCAGTGGCCTTGTTCTTCATAGCATTATAAGTTTTCTGGAAAAAACCCCAACGCCACGCAGGTGTTACAACACAAGTCACAAGTGTAAACAGCAGATTTGGCCTAATGCCACACAGTATTTAATTTCAAATGCTGTTCAACACATTTTTTGTTTATCAGTAGATATTTATTCTTTTACTGCCTTCAGAATAGGTCTGTGAGGAATCTGCGCAATCTACTGCAGCACTTAAGAGCTTTTTAACAAGGCTGGTTATTATAGTAACCATGGTGTTTTCAGTGTTCTGTATGTCACTCTGCATTAAGTAAAGCTCTTGGATAAAGCAGTCTGGATGTTTTGGAATCAGCTCAGTATTCTTCTTTTATAACAATATTCTAAATTGTGTTCAGTTTACAGCTGTGTTATGAAGCCTTTAGTTTAATTTCTAATGTGTCTCTAATCTGTTATTTTATCAGATATTTTACAGACCTTTTCCTGCATTGCCTGTCTCCTTAATGGTTATAAAAAAAAGTTGTCTCAAAAGTAAATAAATTCAGCATTTAGAATAAGCTAATTGTGTTGTACAGTAGTTCTTAAGAGGAGGAAAAGGTGCATACTAATTTTAGTTGACACTAATGAAGACTGGATAGCCATTTCTCCCTGGAGAGTCATTTTCATTTTAACAGCATTATTTATTTCTGTAGAGAAGGAAACAATCTACAGTTGAAGTGTGTAGTTTCATATTTTATTTCCCTTGTAAATTTACAAATCAAGTCAGTTGTATTCAGGGCTGAAATGGTAAGCAGTGATTAGAAAAGTTAAAGCTTGTGGGATACAGGGTGTCTCACCTAAACTGTAACTGTACAGTTTTGGGGGTTTATTAATGCTTGGCTGATATCTGCTTAGGAGCAAACTCAGTTTCAGCTGTAGAAGTTCCATGGATTTAGAGTATTTCCTGGCAGTAACCCCAGTGCTTCTGCATCAGAGAATGCAGCACCTCAGCACAGGGCTTCTGTTTTTCTTCTACTGGATGTCAAAATAAGATAGGGAATGCACAGCAGGACTGTATATATTGGATAAAATAATTTGTCAAAGGGGTATATAGAGTTAGCTTCTGCTTTTTCCCTTAAAAGGTTGTGAAAGTCATCTACCCTTACACATTTCACCATGTTTTTAAACAGAGAGTTCAATTTGTGCATAGCATTTGCTCTTTGAGAGTAAAGCAGATTGTGTAATCTCTGTGCTGTTGTGTTTTTTTTCTTTTCTTTTCCTTCAGTATTGGAGAAAATAAGCTTTTTGCCTGCTCATGGTGGAAACAAGCAAATTCACAAAACAGAGACTTTTCTCAAGCCCTTGTGGACTTAACCAAACAGTTTTGGAAGGCAAAAGCTGCAGATTTAATAGTGTGAAGAACTGACAACTCAGAAGGTAGAGAAGCTTTTTAAATCTCTGTTCATTAAAGGTATAAAACCAACCATTTTTTTAAAGGAATATCATTGTTTGTACCATCCTTGGGAGCCTCAAAGGTTGAAGTAAGCAACTTCCTCTCAAGCCAAAGATAACTGGAAGAGGTTGGATTTAATGGTGAATTCTTGTACGTGTTAATATTTTCTTATTTAAAAACAGAAGTAGATACAAAGCCAAAGCAGGGAGGCTACAGTTTCTTGGTGCAGAAAAACCCCTCACAAAACTATGGTAATCCTCTCCTGTCCCTCCCCACCCACTCTGTTCCCTGAATAAGTTTTAAATGTAATTCATAGGATCCTTTATTTCCTGCCATAGGCAATGTTACCATTTAGAATGGACAGTCATTTTTTGCCTGCTTACAAAGTGTTTTTAAGTACTGATAAGTTACCCCAGCTGTAGGCAGCCAATTAAATGATTGCTAACGGGCTCAGCAATGGGAATGCACAGTGAGCAGTTCAGTATTTCACGCTTGAACTCTAAATGTTTTCTGTACAGTGATTATATATTCTTCACTCTAATAAAAATCTTTGTTGTTGCAGTCTTGAGGTGTTCTGTTTTGTCTTTTTAATCTCACTTGCTGAGACATAGCACACTAGAGGATTATTTTTGTAACTACTGTCTTTTTGCAAGGATTTTCACTTCTCAGTTTACTTGATGCTGGAATAACACCACTCATGAAATTACTTTTGTGCCACATGTTGAGTTCATAATGAATCTGGTTTGTATGATCAATAATGTAATTAGCTCTTCATAAATGTGTGGCTCTCTTCAAAGGGTGCTCTAATAGTCCTGTATTTTTTTAAATAACATTTTAAGTAATGAAGAAATCCTTCCCAATTATAAATATAAGAGGGACCTATTTGAATGTGAATCTGACTGGTATTTGTGAATCAATTTTGTTTTGCACTGTTGTCCCTTTTTTATCCTGTATGTATGACTTAAGAACTGCATTGCCCTAGTTGCTTGGTGCTCATGTTGTCTAGGAACACACACTGCCACAGAGGATCCACCATCTCTTTAGCCCCTCTTAACTTAAATCACTCTTCTTTGGAGAAGTAGTAGTGATCATTTTCTTGTGGTTTGTTTTTTTTTCTGTCAGACTTACATATTCCTCATCTGCCTCTGTTTCTCATGTGCTTTGTGGCACCTTCCAGGTATAATTCTGAGAGCCTGGACTTCTCAGATGTTCAGAGAGAATTCTGCAAAAAAAAAAGGTCTTTTTCATTCTTTTAATGCGTTTCTAATCTGCATCCTGTGTGCTCAGATAACTTCTGATCTTTATGAAGCAGCCACACTTCATTTGACTTGAATTCTTGTCTCTGACCCCAGCCCTTTCAACTGTACATATTGTAGGATTTTTCATCTATTTCTTTTGAAGAAAATGTCCTGTTCTTCCTGCTCAAGTCTAATTATGAAGGATATGGGCATGACCCAGTGTGTACCAGTTGACCAGACAGGCCAAGGTTGTCTCCTTATTAAAACCAAAAAGACAACATCAGCTCCATCCTAGAACACATTTTTACTTTGCAGAGATGTTTATAAACTGTTAAATTTATAAATGCATGGTTGTTCACTATGTCTTGTGTTTTAGAATAATCCTGTTCTTATGCTGGACTATGCAACAGCCTATTAAAACTGTACTCTTAAGTTATAAATATTAGCATGTGAACCCAAGTGGAATGTGATTACAGTAGGAAAGGCTTAGGAAGAGCCAGACTTCACTGTCCACTTTTTAAATGGAGAATATCAGGCACAGAAGCAGAAAAGCTTGCCTGAATCAGTGGGAAATAGTCGAACCAGTGTGTCCATCTGTGTTTATGCATGTGGAGTGACTCTGCATATATTTTCAGTGTATTTTCCAAAGAATTTGTGAAACAGTGAGCACTGACAAACCAACTGGATATGTCTCTCATCCAGCTAGTGGCATTTTTTAGGCTGATATGCCTCTTCTGTCCCTAGCTCTTAGGAACCCTTATAGAACAAAGAACAGGACAGCACTGAGGCTGCTACAACATACTAGATGCAAGTACATTTATACTTTAAGCCTCATCTTCTAAATACCAAGTATTGTTGAAAATTGAAAAACATCAATAGGTTCATTTTTTTAATAAACCTATTGATGTTTTTCAATAAGAGTCAGTCTTACATAAAGTTCTGACTATGTTTTGTAAAATCTGATGGCTCTTAGCACCTCATGTGGAATAATTTATTTAAAATAAAACAGACAGTTGAAAAGAAGAAAACCAAACAAGCTGGTTTGCTGAGGGGAAATAAGTTACTTTGCTTTAAATGAAAGATTTTTTTTTTTGTATGTTACTAAAATTTTTTACTTACTAGAGTATAACAGGTTATCTTTCATGGGTTAATATCACTGTATAACACCATAAGTGTATGATGTGCCTGTTGTCTCTAATAAATTCTGAATCCCTTGAATAACTACATAAAATTCTGTCTTGAGGAGTACAATTCTTAAAGGTGAAATCCTTTGTATATTTCACAAAGGTAGAAGCCCAGTCAGGTGAAGGTACCAATGTGAATGTCAGACAGGAGTTTTACCCTGCACTTATATTTGTGTGAGTGCACAAATGGGGTAGACACACACACAGCACACAGCTCTGCATGGAGTGAGGCAGTGAGCTCCATCCTGTGTCCTGGAGCATGGAAACCAGGCTGTACCAGGTGTGCCACAGAGTAACTTGTCAAAAGTCACCCTCTTAAGTCCCTCCAGGAAGCATTACAGAGCAAAAGAAATAAAACAGTAATTTTGCCATGGACTTATTTTGACCAGCAGTTGTATTTTATATAACTTGAGATAAAAAGTGCAATAAAATTACACTTGTGGGTGCTTTATTTGCCTTTCAGCATTCATCTTGGTCTCGTACTGATCTTTTTTTCTCACAGAATCTATTGGGATTCTTTGGGATTGACGGTGGGAGAAGCAAATAAAATAATTTCATTTTTCCTTCCCTACTGTAGACTGTCCTTAGTTGTTTTCATCTGCCAGTGCATCAGGAGCAGAAAGTGCCACACTTGGCTTTTCTTTTGAGGGTAAAGAAGCAATAATTTCCAAAGTAGGATTTTTGGGGAAGGCAGGGTAGAGGATTGAGAAAGATGTGAATGTGCTCTGTGCTTTTAATACAAAAGACCTCTACTTTTGGCAAGAAACATCCCTGTTCTTACAGACAGTTACCTGGTATTGTTGTTCTTGTGCAATTTAAAATAAAAGCTTTTGCAAGGCTTTATAGGAATAATGACTTTGGAAGAGGGAAGAAAGAACAGTGAATGGGAATTATAACACCCCCTTGCAGAGTGGGGATAGCAGAAAGAGAGGGAGTCTAAATGGCCTGCCGTTTGTAGTCAGGAGAAGTTTAACTCACAAGACCTGGTATCATCAGCAGATGGTGAAATACTGTGGTTATTATGAAGTATCTGAAGCGCCTACATTTTAGGAGTCTTAAGGGAGTCATCGAAAACAGATTGCAGGTAGATTGTGTTAAAATAGATTTTTGCAACCTCTTCAGCTGATGTGATGATTCTTTGTAATAGTGAGGCTACTCGAAGTGTGATATTGGTGCCCTCCTGCCCTTCTGTCATTTAGATTGGACCCTTCAAGGGTGAAAGAAATTTCATTTTGGAGGATAAAATGCCCAACCCCTGTTGCTTCCTGAGTATTAACAGTGAAGTGGTTCACCTGCCTGAAACAGCGAGAACACTGCTTGGGGAAGAATCCATAGCTCATCTACACACAGGCATTAATCACTTCAGCTGTGTGTGAGACAGTCCTTTCCAAAGGGAATTAAGCTATACCCTGGGGAGGAACCTAAATTCCAGATAAAACACCTCTGCAATTAGAAGCTGTGCAAGAAACCATTTGGAATTCCTTCCCTTGACAGAAGAGTGTCCTCTTCAGTGGTGAGGGCTCAGAAGGTGGCAATTTACAAAGCTCAGTGTTCATAACCTGCAGTGTAGAAAAAGTGATGTGAAGGTGTGGCTGAACCACTGTGGGTAGCTCTGGAATCCTTTCTTCCATGGTCAGGCAATTCACTTTGGTCCAGCTTGTTGTCCTCACAGTTACATTCAGATAATTCCACTTTCTCTTGCTCTGTGTTTAGATATTAATTGGATTATGTAACAGGTAAATCATAAAGATACACATCCCAAAGTGACAAATTGCTTTGTCTCTACTTCATCTATTAAGTTGGAAGATAATTTGCCTTTTTTTGGTGTGTCCTCTTTCACTGGGCATCAGAATAAAAAGGTAATTGTAACCAAAGGGTTTTCTCTCTCATATCTAATTTAACATCTCTCACTGATTACAGACTGAAAAACTCGTTATTTAAAAAAAAAAAAGTTTTGGGTTTTGGTTTTGTTTATTTTTAAAGTTTAGTTTCTTGTACAGACATGTATAAACAGTTTTCTAGCTGAGAAGATAGGAAGTAATTTGGTGGAATCTGCTTTTAACAAAGCATCTGCAAACTTCTTCTCTTTGAACTTCGGGAGTAACCTAAGTTCCATATCTGGTGCATGTATAGAGAGATGGCTGTGCATCTTCCTGATGGTGTAGCATCTTCTCCTGTGTCCTCAGGGCAGGCACAAACCTCTTTTGCTTTTCCAGTAAATACTGGATTAGTTTTTGGGTTTTTTTTTTCCCTTATCTGATGATGTCAGTTGTACTTAGTGCATTCAGCTGTCCTGACATTTTTCTAATGCTGTATTTTCATTAATTGACATAAAAGTAAGAGATTTCTGATGAAAGCACAGCTGGTCTAGTGGCAGTGTCTATTCCCTGAAGTGGGCAGCTTCCATTTCAGCTTAAACTTGGAATTTTTCTCTCTTTGTCTGTCTCTGCTGGGAGCCATTCTTATGTAGATAACATCCCTGATCCTGCAGTGACAGATGCTGAGATTGCTGACCCCAGGGCAGTGAAGGGGAGACAGTGGTGCAGTGATGGTTGTTTAAGTCATTCACCAACCTCAAGGATGAGGATATCCGCTGGCATGGCAAGAAGCTTTTTCTTTAAAGGAATTATTCAGGTGAGGTCTCTGGTCAGGTTCTCTTTTTCCAAGGGAAAACACAGCTGCAAACCTTGGGACAGTGAATGAGGTTATCTTAAAAGCAAAGTACATGGCAGAGACCTGGCTGTGGAGACCTGTAAGACCTGTGCTTGTAGAAATCCCGAATATGGGACAAAAAAATGTGTTTATATTGTTTAGAGATGTTTTGCATAGTTAATCCACAAAATTTACTAAAACCTGTAGTGGTACATTTTCAAAGATATTGGGCCATATTGCATTTATCTTTTCCAAGTTGCAGCATGCCAAGTAACAAGGTGCTCTGTGACATCTTACTCCAAACGAGGAGGTGACAGGTCTCAGCTCCCGTTCTGCTTCTAACTTGACAAATGCTTCTTTTGAAATGAGAACTGAGAGGCTCTGTGCCACAATCATGGCATGTTGTTCATTGGCCTTGAAGATTTTTCGCTTCTTGAACTTGCATTTCCCTCCCAGCTCTGTAAACTCAGTGGTGCAGAACCAATTCTT